CCCCAAAACCCCAAAACCCCATTGATGTAACTATGAGGATCAAAGGGAATTATGAAATCAAGATATCATTATTATCATTATATTTCTAAGCTTAATTATCTATATTTTTTGCTTTCAAGGCACAAATTCATCAGAATCTGAGTTAAATTTAAGACTCCTTTCTATTTTTTTCTTTGTGTACTTAAGTTTCTTGCTTGCTGATGAAGTATATGTGTCTAAATCTTTAATCAATGAGTGAACTCTTTATTCAGGATAGTTAGCTTAATTAATCAATGCAATGCATTCACCCTAAACATGTTAAATTAAACAGTATATATATTCATACATCGAAATCCCAGAGTTTGACTTCTCCGTGATTAGTACCTGTTAAGAAGTACTTTTTGAACTTTGAAAATTTGCAAATTATAACTGCCTAATTCAAATGGGGAGCCTATGTGAAGAAATTAGTCATCATTGGTATACTTACAACTTTATGCAGAGTCCATTCCTTTATCTTATCAAAGCAGAGATTAAAATCATATTCATTCCGTTTTTCCAAATTTGTCATGAGAACATTTTCCAGCCTATCCTTGATATTCATACTTTTCTTTGGAGCTATTCTGGTTTTGGCCTTAACAAAATTGTTCTTTGGTGATATATCCTATAGCTTGGTACTAAGTAGCGTTCCCTTTCCACTCTCACCTATAGATAGCATGAGGTCTAAATCGTGACTAAAATCGAAAAATGCATTGTTTTGCAATTTCAAGATATTCTCGGTGACGACTTCTGTGATAGGATTAATGCAGTGAACATGACCGGTGTTTTAGATAACAAATAGTAGAGTCTACCTATTAGTCTTGGCAAATTTAACGTGAGAGACAAAAGTATTTGGCCTTTCCTTTGGTAGTTCAATTATTGCTCTGACACTTCCAGACTATGCATTCCACAAACAAATTTTATTATCTACGCCTCCAGTAGCTGCATAGTTCTCAGTGTGATCAATAGTGTAAATGTCACCAGTATGGACAGATTTCTTCAGCATAATTGGGATTGTGTAAGTATTTTTCTGAAACATCGGGAGTTTGATAAATGCTACTTTCCCTTCCCAACCTACTCCACTGAGCCAGAAGTTTGTGTTATCTGTCAAAAATTAAAGCTGCGACATTTCTGACCCAATTTTCTATAACGAGTGCAAGATACCTGCAGAATGAATATTGTGAATAGTTATGAGACCTTCCTCATCAGAAACAGCTAGGTATTTCTCTTTAGGATCAACAGCTGCACAAGTCAATTTCTTGTTTATTGCATTGTTTTTTAAATGCGTTTTTAAGAGTAGTGTTGTCACTTGTTTTCCAGTCTAGAGAGACCAAATTCTCATCAAGTAATCTGAGTCAAGAGTAACAAGTTAATCTTTACTCTCTAAGATTATTACTGATACTAACTTTGATGAGTTAGTAACTAATACATTTCCAGTTTCTGCGTAATTTTGAAGTTATTCGAATCCTGAGGTAATATATGTTTGTGAAGCTACCAATTCCTCACCTAATTATTGCTGCTTTCTTTTAAGTTCTGGGTCAACATCATAATTATCTTCTATTTCCTTCCCTTGCTCAAATATGTCTATTTGTCTCTGAATTCTTTTAACTTGTTCCTTAAGAGCATTTTTCGTAATTGCTTTTCTTTAAACACTCTCGAATTCTACCTATCTATCGACCTTAGCTCTCCATACTTTTACAAATACACAAGCAGTTAATAAAATTCCTCTCTGTGGGTTAAAGCAGGTCGATGAGTAGAATCTTGTAGCTTAATTTGATGTGTCTTTGATAGTTTAAATGCATTCTAACTTCAAGGAATCCCAGAGCATTATAGTTCTATCAACTGATATTGATATTAATTGCATATGTTTATCGTAGAAGTATAAATCCATAACCTCAGAAGTGTGTGCCTTGGAGCAACTTTGAGTCAGAATTCTGGCAGACGGATCAAACATGAGTAGCTTGCCCTCTACGCCACCAACAGCAATAAAACCGATTTACTATGAGTAATCAAATGTAGTAATAGTAGACTTTTCTTTTCTAATGTTATTGTTAGTTTCCCAGAGAAGCTTGAATTCCATACTATCATAAACTTACAAAAGGCCTTTGAATGTCGAAACAACTAAACCTACATCTTTGTGATATAGTAGTTTGGTAATAGGTCCGTGCTCTGCCACAAATTAATGAAGCTTTGCAGACCAAATTAGTTTACCTTTGTCTTTTTCTGCCAAGGAAAATATTTCAATCTGTCCTTCTTGAGAAGCTAGGCACAAAATGATATTACCGTTCAATTTAAATTTCGAGAGATTTGAGCAAACCGGCAGGTAACTACTGTAAAAAGAGTGATACTCGAGGACTTGAAGAGTTGATCCTTACATCTTTAGCATGTAGATTTTGATATCACAGTCAATCAAGCAGATTGTCAAGAGTCTACTGTCTTAGTGATAGCTAATGCTTACGGGGTATATCTTTTTAACATCTTTCTTTTTCTTTTATGCAGAATCGTCACTCTCGCTTGAATCATCTATATATTCCTCTTAGGTCCTTTGCTTTTTCTTGATAAGATTAATCCTCTCTTTTTCCTCTAATTCTTTAGAAATTTTATCCAGGAACTATTGCTTTTTCTAAACTGAGATTCTTATTTATTCTTTTTCTTGTTCAGTTATCGGGAATTTCCTTGTCTACGATTTATTTTTTCTGTTCTATTCAATTGCTAATGGGCAGGAATCAGCAACCTTTACCTTGAAATTAGTGAGTTCCGTATTCTTCTTAATAAATCCATCGAGATTGATACACTTTGCTTCCAATTGGTCCACTCTTTTCTCAATTTTTAAGTCATCAAAGTTTTCAGTAAGTTTTGGATCATCTAGCTAGGAGACCGAGACTTTGTTATTGCCCTAGAGTGATTTTCTTTTTATGGATTTTTCCTTCTGAGCTGTGAATCTTACTCCGCTATGACTTAAATTTAACTTTCTCTGATCACTTTACTTTTGATTGATGTTAATTTAAGTCTGTTGAGGGCCTATTTAAAACTCAGAGATCAGTATTGACTTGGATGAGTCTCCACATTTGACTAGATTTTACTAAGAAGACCTTTAACCTTTTTAATCAAGATATTTATTGAACTATTTATCTCTGCTCTCCATTTCTTGGTCTATTGCTCTCTCGAATCTTTGGAAGATTGACTTGACTTTCTCGTGATGCTGCTTAGATTTAAACAAATCGTCATTTAGTCCAAAGGGGTGCAACTACAAATTAACACTTGACCCATTTTAAGCAATATTTCTGAATATATTAGTCTCTCTGAGAAGCTTATTTTAAAGATAATCCTTAGCAGTCTAATCCTCAATGGGGTCTATGCCAAGTACACCAAACATTTTAATCTTCTGTTTTTTCTTAAGTTGTGAATTCATTCTAGGTCTTTTGAAAGTTCCTTATTTATCACTGGTATTTTGGTAACTTGCGTTCCTTTGATTAATTGGACTGCTCTCTGGTGAATTCATTTAAGTGATGGCTTTCCTAATATGATTAGTCAAATCATAGGAGAACTTTTCTGATATACTCTTCTCTTGAAATAGGGCCTTTTGGCTGTTTTTATTTTCATTGTTATTTCCCATAAACTGAGATTTATATACAGAGCCAGTAACTGAGTTATAATCTGACTAGTGTCTCCCCAACATCAATCTGTTATTTTGGTTTGGAGATTCATAGGATCTCCGCAGAGAAGCCTTCCTCGAAACATTGAAATTTCCTTTGGTAGCAGAGGCTTGAATATTTTCATAGTTAAATTGTTTGACTTTATGAGTAAATGACTGCTAACTTGGGATTTGACCATTGTAGAAGCTGTCATTAGGACTTTAAACTCTAGGAAAGTAGTCATTCTCAGGTTGCTTAATATTTGATTGTTCTCTTGAATTTAGCTTAGTTGCTGGCCTTGTGGTCTCTGATTTATTATGATCCAGTCTTGAGGAGTTTGGATTAGTGAGAGAGAATTTTTACTTCATATTAGATGTTTGGTATTTTGAAAAATCAGGTATGGCTTTTTGCATTTGAGACTGCTGATTCTTAAGGTGTTTAATGTTCGAAGTAATAGAGTAATTTGGAAAATTTTTTATCTTTTGATTTGTAATGGGTTGATTACTGCTAGTCAACGAGGAAACAGAAATAAGATTCTTAGTCGACTCTTAATTCGATCTTTTCTAAAAACTGCCTGATTGATTTGTTGATTAAGGTCAGAATTTTCACTTCGCTTGCCCGTAATTTGAAATGAAATTGAACTTGTAGATTGAAGTCATCTCCTCAAATTCATAAATCTCTACTTCTTTGGTGTCAGAAACAGTAATTAGATATTCTAGATTCATTATGTCCATGAATTGAAGTTTTTCTAAAGAGAAACTACTTTTAGCAGTACTCTCCATTCCTTCGTTAGTCTTTTTGGTAAGTTTAAATTTTCTTTCTTTAATTATCCTGGTGGTTCCTGGTTGGTTAATTCTCATATCGTTTATCATTTCTCTCATATCACCTTCCATCTCTAAAAATCTTAGAAAATCCTCCCAAGAAATGATATCAACCTAAACGTCTATTTTTAGGATAATGCTCGAGATCATGTCCATCGTCAATCTTGGCAGGAGTTCTTTCAGTTTCACTTTGAATGTCTAATGTTAAATAAATTATAAGACAATCATTAAGTTAAAATATAGATATATTCAATAATGAAGCACTTACATCTTTATCCATTCCTCCCTATTTACCTCTAGAATTGCCAGACGCACTTACAAATTTTTATATTTCAGGGAAATGTGCCTTAAAATCTTAACTCATGCAATTAATTACCTTTAGCCTTGCAATATCATCAATAGTCAAATCGTAAGGATGAATCTAAGTTTCCATTAAAATTATGAATATACTTTTGATTTTACTAAAACTCAAACATTCTTTTTAAATTTTTAATCTGCTCTTGGGGTTTTGGGGTTTTGGGGTTTTGGGG